GCAGGAGAGGAAGGCCCTCTATGAGGTGGAGTGATTCAGTGACTGGGATAATTGGGATGGGAGTGTCAGAGACAGTGCGATTGGCACAGGACAGAGCGGAATTTAGGGCTGTTGTACATAGGGTCGCTATGAGTCGCAGGCGACTCGACGGCACATAACAACAACAACATATCACTCTTCTATTAAAAAAAGACTGACAGTTTTTTTAACTTGTATATAATGTTGTTGTTAACATGCTGTCGAGTCGCCTGTGACTCACAGTAACCCTGTATACAACAGCCCTAAACCCTGCTCTTCCTGTGCCCAATCTTAACTGTCCCTGACAGACCTACCCCATCACTTCAGTCACTGAATCAATCCACCTCACCGAGGTCTTCTACTAAAATATAGAGTTTGGGAGAATGAAAGTCTTATTTCTACATTTTGTCAAAATAACACCAATTTTAACTTGGTTCTGAACTGACCATATCCTAAACTTTGAAGTGACTTGTTAATGTTGTTGTTAAGTGCTTTCGAGTTGCAGGCGACTCATAGTGACCGTATGAAGGAGAGTCCTCAACCCTTGGGTGTCTGTCATCCTCTCTCCAGATTCATAGGGTTTCCAAATTATGGAAGTGGATGCCACTCCTCCTTCCAAGCTTGTTTTAATCGGGGAGCTCCACCCCACTCTCAGTCCACAGTGGGTAACTGACCATTAACGGATTTGACACATCAGTGTCACAGTGTTCAGCTTCACAGCAACCACAAGTTACCACTGTCTGGCAACTTGTACACTAGGGCTATATGACCTAGAGGAATGTCTGAACAAAAACAACGAAAGACAGGCCCGAGGGAAGTGACTTAGACCTAATAATTTCAATAAAGGGACATTGGTGGTTCAGTGGTAAATTCTTACTTTCCACAAAGGTGCTCCCAGCACCTTGCATGCAGCTAGAACCTGCCAAGGGAGGCTTACATGTTGCTGTGGTGCCGAACAGTTCTCCAAGGAGCTCTCACAGTAAGACTAAGAAGCAAGGTCTGGTGATCTACTTCTAATATCACCAAACAGCTCTTGATGATCCAATCTACAACGAATGATGTGGATGATACAGGATCAGGCAGCATTTTGCTCCCTGTGCATGAGGTCGCCACGATTTAGGAACCAATTTAAAGACAGCTAAAAACAAATTTTAGTAATGCCAATAAAATTGAAATGCAACATATAAAATAACATGCCCTGAAATATAAGAGAATTCACAATAATTAGTGAGCCATAAAATTATTGTTGGTAGGAATATGAGCAGTGATGTACTGGTTACGTTTAACAGCTAGGACTGGAGGGAGAAGGCTATGATTCTTGAATTGTAATGCTTTCCAATTTCTATGCTGCAAATACTTTCTTGAATTTCAAGATAATAACATGAGATCATGGATCACAAAGTGGGAAAGAGATACATAAAAGTGGCTCTTATGAACTCATACAAGTTGACTCCAGCACATCACCACATATGAGTACTCAGATTCCAGAACCCTTCTCACAGAGCTGCTAGCTCTTTTCCTTGTAACTCATTGTACCTCATATATGACAAACTCTAGACATTACTATGTTTATTTATCTACTCAACTTTCTATTTTAGTGCTTTCAATCTTTTTTGGATGTGAATCAAAGCAAAACACTTTTTTACCACACGACTCACTCATTGCACAAATACAATCTTTTTATATACATACACAAATACATATAAAACTGAAATAGAACCCTTATAAAATAAAAACTCTTGGTAAATAGAATACTTTTTTACCTTTTCATTTTTAAAATTTTGTTGCCTTAAGCCGATTCATCTCCCACAATTTTGGTGAAGACTGAGATTTTTAGGAGGGGGGAACAATGTCACTATATGAGACAATAAAACTCACTGAAAACAGGCTTTTCTGTGATTACTAGATTATCTGTACATACCCTTATGTCTAGGATTAATAAGGGAACTCTAATAACCTAGTCCCTACAGAGTTGCATTGCCAACTCGAAAGCCTTGTCTCTCTGGTGATTCAGATCCACCAGTGGCTGAAAGAGAAAAAAACGGACACTCTACTCTCATACGACTTACAGTCTAGCAACTAGCTAGAGGTTCAACTATGAGTTGGTGTTTACTTGACAGAAATGAAGTGGAGGAGGAAGAGTAATTATTGAGGCCCAAGGAGGTTAAGTAACTTGCTCCAAAATGTTCCTGCTACGTGTGACCTTTTTAAAAATACCCTTCATGGAACGTGAGATTCATGCCACTGAATCAGGATAGCCATGGCTTGATATTAAAAGCTAAAGACAGTCAAAAGACAGTTAAGTTTTCAATAAAAATAAAAAAATAAGAAAGCATTTTTAAAACATAGTCTTGACACCATGCTTACTGGACATTTGGCTCTTCAGCCATTGTGGCCCTGTGGCCTTGTTTACTGGGGAAGATTATTCTGAGTGCTCATCTAGTCCTTCTTGCTAGCTAGGTTATCCTTTCAGAGTACTGAAAAGGAAATTATTAAAAAGGAACTCCAGCTGTAGTTCTATATAGACTATTAAGTGCCAACTAATGTTAAGAACATTAACTTCTATATAAATCTGCATCTATCATTACTAGCTTTCAAGTAACCAGTACCAAAGACTGAGCTGAAAAAAAATATCCAGGAAACTAAAACCTGAATCCACAGCCTCGTCTCTTCAGTGTGCTCATGCACCACATGCGTTTTTTATAGGTAATATTAAACGCACACTATAGTTTCAAGACAATTCAGATAAGCATCTTCACTAAAATACACAACACCATTAATCATCTCAGTGACAGTGCTCCAACTTAACATCTTGGGGATTTCCTCCCCTTCTTCATCATTTATTTGCCAATATTTCCTTGTTATGAATATCCCCCTAGTGACTTTCCCTGGCAGTCACAGCTGTGCTGCCTACTGTGTCTTACCTTGACTACAAATAACACTGATTCTTAAAAAAGCAAGCCCTTGAGAGGATCCCTACAGTTAGGAGAGAAGGCTTTCCATGAGACAAAATTCCTGGTGGCCCCTTTCAGTTTCCTAACTCTGAAGTGACAAACCTCAGTCTCTAAGCAGGCAGTGATTTCAAGTTCATGAAACTGGCTTGGGTACAAATGAACAAGAGTCTCCTATATTGACTTCATCACGTTTCTTGAACAGTTTAGGTGCTGTTTTACTATGACCCTTAAAGCACTCCATTTTTATACAACAAAAAGCTTCCTCAAACTATAAATTATCACAAAATCATTAACAACAACTCGCAAAAATCTACCAAGAATCGCAATAAATATGATAAACCAAAAAAAATAATAGTAGGGAAAAAACTGTATTATAATTACATCATTTCAACATTACATACACAATCAAACACAATTAATACAACATACAGCAAGCACAGTACAGTACAGTACAGTACAGTACAGTACAGTGATACAATCATTAACTAAGCAGAAGACTAGTTCCAGTTTCATCCAATTTGTAATCAATTTGGAGACAAGAAACCACAGGCCCTAGGATTTTGTGATTATTTTTAAATCATAAAAGAAACTGTTGTACAACCAGAAAAATTAAATTAGAAATACACCAGCTTATATTCAGAAAAAAATTATTTAAAACTAAAGGGCACTCTTCTTCCAACAATGAAAGTACTACAAAAGAACGTAAGAGTTTGAAGACAAAAACACAGCAAAGTTGATTTGCAAGATATAACAAGAACAGCTAATGCCTTTGGTGGAATTATGTTTCTATTACTTTATATTTTCTAAAGGGAATTGTTAATATTGCCTCAATCAATATTCCAAAGCTTATCTGGAAAATATCAATTTCCTTTTTTTTTAGATTATTCCAATTTGAATTATTGTTAAAAATCATTCTTCTGAGTAAAAACAATGAAAGTCATGATATATTCAAATGATTTTTCCTCCCCAGAGCAGAGTCTTTACTTCAGTGATAGTAACAACATCTTGTTACCAACAGTGCAGATTGTGTTAAATAAGGGACAAAGCAAATGGCAGCAAAAGCAGAGGACTCAACTTCAATTTAACTGTCCTGTAAGGTACATAGTAATTAGCTGCAAAGCTCTGAAATCTTAGCTAGCATGTTAAGTCTGCTACATGACAGTATAATTTGACTTCTTAAAGGATTATGCAAATTACAACTCATCATTCCATTACAGGATTGAAAAAAAGTTGACAGCTAATTTATACATAACACACCTTTCAAATCCCTAAGATGCGTAGCACCTGTGCAATATATTTTGCGGAGATTTTCTTGCATATAAGTACTTGTTTATTGCAATATAAAGAACCTTACCTAAGAGCTTTAATAAACCCATTTTTTAAAAACTTTTAGACCACAATTTCAAAAGGATAAACATCTTTTTCTGTCTCAATTTCAGAGGCAATTTCTTTCGGTTGTTTTCATTTTGTTTGATTTGGTTTTGTTCCCACTAAATTAGAGAAAAGTAAGGACTAAAGACAAGGATATTTTTGAATAGCTGGCAATCACAAGCACTGATGCACGAGCCAGAAGGAAGACTCACAAAGATTTCAACATACTTCTGGTAGGTAGATTCACAGTAGATTCCGTCATATCTGTAGATTTTCCTACATTCTGATTGGTTGGGCAGAGGATGCTGTGCAGTTATTCTGTAGAGGCATCAAAAACAGATAGACATGACTAGAGATTCTCTACAGTCAACTGGAATGCAGGATAACAAGTATGTTGAAATTGAATATATTCTGCTCTTTACACGTCTGAGCTCTACACACAATTGCAACGTGTACATACATTTTAGAACAATAACTTCCACTTTTAGGAATCTGCACTTAGAACAAAACAAACTTATTTTTAAATTCATCAGAACAAAAACTATTTTATATATATAGTTTCAGAGTCATAAATGTGGAAGAGAGCGACATAAGGTCTAAAGCTTAACTCATTCTACAATCCCCATGATTAAATTCTAAAGGAAATGTTAAAAAACAAATGGCATTAGTGTTTTTATTACAGGACTGTCATTAATTCAATCATGCATTACGACTGTAGACAACTGTAAATTAGCTGTAAAATCTTAGTCAAGTTAATATATATTTCAGTTTTATTCAATTTATACAGACTTTATATGTTACGGACTTCTAAAGGGATGTGCTATAGCTTACAGAACGAAACCCAATTAGGGATGAAAACACAAGTGAGACCATCGGGAGCATGGGTTAGATGTTAACAGGCACCTGAGATGAGTTGATTACAGTGGCTCCAGGTTTCTTGGCAGTTAAGGTAAAAGGGGGGAAAAGGCTTATACAATTTTCATCTGACTTACTTAAGTATATATATTCATCTGAGACTTCCGGTATTATACTGGAATAAAAATGCTGAGGAGTTTTCTGACCATTTCGTACTACTGAAAATCCCCTCATTTAAGGGAAAAAAATAAAGGACTCTATTGTGCTGGGT